TATTGGGGCAAGTGTTCCACAGGAAGCTGTTGGGACAATTGTTATGAATGTCTACTTCAACGACCTTCTTCATCTCATCCCAGAATCACATGCATAAGCAGACGACTGTTACACTGACAATCACTTATCCCCAAGAGAAGAAAAGCCAGCTGCTCCTAAGCTACATCAATCACCCAGCTGAAACTATATCAGCTTGGGGAAAAATAGATATGGCAAGTAACATTTGCACTGTAGAAAAAACGCAAATGAGATCGTCTCTAGCACCATGATGTGTAATGCTGGTGCAGTAGTAAGGATGAATGGAGGGGGTGGCACCTGGAGAAGAAGTTGATATCCTTGGGGTGAAATTTTTGGACTCCAACTAACCATGAAGAACCACGTTGTAAATCTAGCCAAACAGGCAGCCAGGACGCTACAGCACCGTCGCCTTATCTCGCATCTGCTTGACAGTAGAGGTTGCAAGATTCTGTACAAGGCCCAAGTACGCTCCACAACCTTAGTATGCTCCACTTTCTTGGTTTTGCCTGCCCCCCCCCTCTCATTTGCGACTGCTTGACAGAGTGGAGAACAGAGCAAGACGTCTCATCTCTCCCTGGACCCATCCTGGATAGTTCTGTCATATCAAGCAGAGCCTACAACAGAGGAGGGAAGTGGTGGCCTTACCGTTATGTACAAGGCCCAATACTGTCAAAGTACCACACTTGGATCCACTTCGAGGACAGCGTGAAACAAGCTTTATGCCACAAGACGGTCAGAAAAGCAGGCATTCACTCTGGCTTACACCTTCACCAGAACATCACTCCATCTGAGATCATACATACCCAGGATGACTCGTGTATGGAACACATTCGTACAGCATTATGATGTCCAGCGAGATAAAGACAGTTGATCAAATAAAATGCCAGGGCCACAGATGGCTCCAACTTCATCCTGTTCCCTACTTTGTATGTCTCATAACAATAAAAATGCTTTCAATGAGCTGATGTAGGTAACAGCTCTTAGCTTGCCAATAAAGTTAGGGATCCTTAACCTGTAAATAGCTGTCAATAAAGCTAGGGATCTTTAAACCTAGTCCAACCCTGTGTAAAGAGAGAGAAGAAGAGGAGTAGAGAGAGAGATGAGTAGAGAGAGAGAGAGAGAGAGAGAGAGAGAGAGAGAGAGAGAAGAGAGGAGAGAGAGAAGAGAACAAAAGTGTTTCATATATACACTGAGCAAAAGTCTTGTGTCTCGCTCTATGAGATTAACTCGACTTTGTCTCTTTTTTTCCTTTTCATCTCTTTCATGTCCTGTTCATGATCCTCTCTTGTTCAGGAGAAATGTTCACTACGTTCTCTTTTTCCTGTTTATTGTTACTGAGGCGCTGTCTAAATACTGTCTTTAGTGTGAATGGTTAATGCTAGACCTCTCTCTCTCTCTCTCTCTCTCTCCTCTCTCTCGCTCGTCTCTCTCTTTCCATCTCTCTCTCTCTCCTCTCTGGTGAGTGTGTGTGTGTACTCCGTAATTGTATTGTGGTTGCAGGGGTCGAGTCACAGCTCCGTGTCCCGCCTCTTAACTGATCACTACTAGGTCAACTCTCTCTGCTCCATGAGCTTATCGTACCTCTTTTTAAAGCTATGTATGGATCCCTGCCTCCACTACATCACTTCCCAGACTATCCACATTCTTGACCAACATATGACTGAAGAAATACTTCCTAACATCCCAGTGACTCATCTGAGTTTCATCTTCCAATTGTGATCCCTTGTGGAATGCTGTGTCCCATCACAGGAACATTCCTGTCTCTGTCCACTTATCATTCCCACTCAGTATTTTTAATCGTTTATCATTACATCCCATCCCTCCTTGCCTCCAGTGTTCGTCAGGTCGAGTTCCTTTAATATTATCCTCGTAGCATCATACCCTTAGCTCCGGGACTGAGTCCTAGTTCAAACCTTTGAACTTTCTTTAGTTTCCTGACGTCTAAACCGGGTGTGGGTTCCAAACTGGTGCTGCATACTCAAATATACGCCTGAGTACACAGTGTTTAGTGTCCTGAACGACTCCTTACTGAAATGTCGTAATGCTATTCTTAGGGTCACTAGTCACCCATATGCTGCAGCATATGGGTGACTATCACCCTTTTTTTTTTAAATATAGGCACAATAGGTACTATCTTCCAAGTGTTGGATAATTTCCGTTTTGTATTGAATTTGTAAAAATTTTCCAAAGTTGATATCATAATTCTTTTGCAAGTTCTTTAAAGACTTAAGTTGCTATCCTGTCTTGTCTTACTTGATGGAAATTCTGGTTAATTTTTCGGAGAATTATTTCTCCACCTCAGTGATTTTTGGCCGAGAGAGAGAGAGACAGAGAGAGAGAGAGAGAGAGAGAGAGAGAGATAGAGAAGAGAGAGAGAGAGAGAGAGAGAGAGAGGGAAGAACAACAGAACAGACAGACAAACAGACATTCATAGAGACACAGACGGACAGTCACATACAATCAACAGACAGACAGACAGACAGACACAAACAGACATACAGACAGGACGGACATACATACAGATAGGCAACAGACCAGACAACAACAGACAATAACAAACAGACCATACAGACAGATAGGCAGACAGACAGACAGACAGACAGACAAGACAACAACAGACGGACATACAGACAGATAGGCAGACAGACATAGACAGACAGACAACTAGACATACAAACAACATACAACAGATATGCAGACAGAGCAGCAGACAGACAGACAAACAGACCAGACGACATAACAGACAATAGGCAGACAGCAGACAGAACAACAGACTACAAACAGACATACAGACAGATTAGGCAGACAGACAGACAGACCAAACACCAATAACTCAACAAACACATGAGCCCCTGGATTCTCAAAAATTAGCTCACTTTCTCTAAGCCACTCTCTCTCTAAGCCATTCTCCTTTAAGCCACTACAGAGGGCTTATATTGCCCTGGTAGCACACCTCTCTCTCTGCAGGCACAGACACATGTTCCCCTTCTTCTGGGACACAGCAACCCCATGTATCTTTTATGAGGAGATACATTTCTTCGTGGTTAGTTGAATGCTTGGTTGGTAGCGTTCTCGTGCTTAAACACTGAGGGTCAAGGATCGATTCCGACGTGCAAATGTTGGCCTTTATCCTACAACCTGCTTCCCTGTTTACCTAGCACAAGTAGGTACTGGGATATACCGACCTAACACCCGCTGTCCCTGTTTACCCTAGGCATTAAGTAGGTACCTGGTGAGCGCCAACCTAACAACCCGCTGTCCCTGTTTACCTAGCAGTAAGTAGTACCTGGTGAATATCCACCTTACACCTCTGTCCCTGTTTACCTAGCAGTAAGTATGTACCTGGTGATAAGCCACCTTACACCTGCAAAAAACATCCTAAACTGTTTTCCAAAAATTTTTGGACTCTAGATTCCCGGGCAAAGAATTCCAGTCAATTTGACTTAAAGTTAAAGTCCCTACTATGACAAATGTTACTGTGTTTAGAAGCCCTAACAATTTCGTCCCAAAGAAGTCTCCCTCTATCGTGATCCAAGCCTGGAGGTCGGTATATTACACCTAGAATTAGTTTTTCTTGACCCTCCACGAACTCTACCCAAACAGACTCTGTTACTGCCCATCTATTTTTATACCTGTTTTTATGCAACAAAAATATTTTCTCGAACATACAATGCAACTCCTCCCCCCTTCCCATTACATCTATCCACTTGAACAACTTAAACCCCTGAATATTACACTCAGCAGTCATATCCCGACCCCTTTAAATCATACCACGTTTCAGTTAATGCAATGATATCAAAGTTCCCAGCACATGCTACCAACGTAGTTCATTAATTTATTTCTTGCACTTCGACGTTAGCATAAATCCCATCATATTTTTTTCTTCTGCACATTTTTCCTATTCATCTTTGTTTTTTACGCAATTTCTGAAATATCATTACCCAGATTTTACTCCCTGACAGTTAAACTATTAAGTTTCCCAAATATCGAGCATAAGCCCAAATATACCCATACTCATTTTAATCATTTCTAAACCCATACCTTAAACTAATCCTAGTTTAAATTCCTAACAACCCCCTCAACTGAGTTAGCAAGAAAACCCACACCTGCCCTGGATAAGTAACCCCCATCCCTGGCATACATGTCATTTTCGGCCATAGAAGTTGTCCCATTTTGTAAATGAATTTGGGTACTGCATTACCCTTTAAACAGGTTTATCCACCCAACAATTAATACCAATTGCTCTGGACAACCATTCATTACCAACACCTCTTCTTGGCAAAATGCCACATGTAACAGGGTGCCCCCCCTTCTTCCTAATTATGTCTATAGCTGTCCTGAACTTTCTAACTAAATCCTCACTTCTACGCTTGCCTACATCATTGCCTCCAGCACTTGAATCTTGTTTCATAAAAAGCAGTTTTGACAATAATATGAATATTTCCTTTGGTTTATATAAATTAGATCCATTTATAATTAATAGAATTTGGGAAGAATTTATTAATACATTGGACAAATAATAATTTTTTAAATTTCTTATTTCTTGAGTAGAATAGTTTGTTGATGGGTTGTATGAAGGACCTGTCTATTTCGGCCGGCGGGCCTGCTGTCTCGCGTCAGGTGTTTCGTTTGTTGTGGGATCTGATAGTGAGGTTGGGCTACCCTTTATATACCTTCCTTTGGATGCTTTACTTCATTGTTCCTTGATATTATGAGTAGTCACGAAACGCTTGGAAACTTCTCTATTCTTTCACAGTGGTTTTTTGCATATTCTGAAATTACCTGTTTACTGTGATTGTTAATTCATATATATATATATATTTTATATATATATATATATATAATATATATATATATATTATATAAATATATATATTATTATAAAATATATATATATAATATATATATATATATAAAAGTCAGTTGAGCAGATTTCTTCTGTGTGCGAGAGTACATATGTTCACACAGTCATCAGTACTCAC